GGAATGTTGCATAGTCTTGTACTAAAACAACAAGAAATCCTGCCAGCTTTGAGCACTGGGACAGGGGGTGGGGTGGGGACAAAGCAAAGCTGGAAGCAATCTGGATGACATATGTTGTCATTTTAAAAGGAAAAGGTAGACATTCACCTCAACTGAACTAGTTTAAAAAATGTGCGTAACAGGCAACCCTGTTTTCCGAAGTTTTAGAAGTTACAGTTTGTGATAACTTAAAAAAAAACAAAAACAAGATTCCATGTGAATCATTTCTCAGTAATCTCAGCAATTCTTATTAGAGATCAAGAAAAGTTCAAATTCTTCTTTATTTATAGCAACAGAACAGCTGGCAGCACTTCAGAACGACTCAATTAAAGGTGTCAATAAACAAGGCTCCTGAGGGGGAGTCAACTTAGCTGCCAACCTGGGTCATAACTTAAGATGTCATTTCTTTCAGCCTTACAATTCCAGCAGACATTTCTTGTGCCACCTGAGGTAGCCATATATAGGCAAATCTTCAACTCAAAACCATTTCTCCAATCATTTCATCCCCATCTTTCTTTCTTTCTTTCTTTTTTAGGAAAAGAGCTTCCTTTCCTTTGAAATATTCAACTGAATTCTTGCCCCCAGGATATGCAGCAGAGAGCATTCATGCACAAGGAACGGGCTGGATCACGATTAATATGGAACCATTTCTTATAAAAGACATTTTGCATACGTTAAATACATTTACAGGGAGTCATGTTGTCAATGAATAAGTATCCACACATTGCATCTCTATGGAAATCGCTTGCAGTAGGAACTAGGAAAGAATACATAAGAACAAATTCTAAATATTTGTTTCCATAGATTATGATATACGTCACTCTCCTGGCAATCATACAAATGATGTCGCTAGATTGTTTGCTTATTCCACAGGCTCGTTGCCATTCTGGATCAGAATTATTGGACTTCCTGAGTGTTTCTATATACAAAGTTGCCAAATGGGCATATTGGTGCTCTCCAGGTGCATCACAGCTCCCATGTTGTGATGATTGGGACATACAGGCAGGCTCTCATTGACTTGTAATTGAACACACCCGAGAGGCTTCACTTAACTTTAGATGTAGATACGAAGAACCTATTATATTAACAACCCCAGATTTGTCTGGAGCAAATAGATACAATCCCTTTTCCTAGCAGGAAATTGAGTTCGTGCGGAGATGCACCACAGAACACACATGCAATGTGTGATAGCTGCTTACAGAAAGCATTGCAGCTGGAAAGCTGATGGCCACATCGATCTTGGTATGCCCCTTGCCAAATCAGATGAGGAAATGCCTTACTCTTCCACTATCTCTTGGGGCAGGGGTCTCCAACCTTTTGGCAACATTAAGACTGTGTGAATTTTGATTCCCAGAATTGCTGGCTAGGGAATTCTGTGAGTCGAAATCCACAGGTCTTAAAAGTTGCCAAAGTTGGAGAGTCCCGCCTTAGGCCATGTACACAGGTCATCTTCCTTCAGTGGAATCAATCATTTCCATAGATGGCAATTTCTTTTCTAATGGGCAGTGGAGGGGAAAAAAAGCTCAGATTATGTGCCATTTTAGAATACGTATGCTTGAATGCTCATTTTGGACTAATCAAATCCTACAAATGGAGAGAGGCTAAGAAGAGAATGCTCTCCATGTGAACAGAAATCTTTTCCCTGCAATCCTGGAATATTTAACCAAGCATTTGGAAGTTTGCATCTCATAGTTCTTGCTAAAAAAGCAGAAAGGAAGGAGGGTGCTGAAGAGCTAGATGGACCTAATACAGTAGTTGGATCATTTTAGGATTATGATTTACTCTAGTCCATTTTCAGGAATCAGATTAGAATTTGCATTATACTTTTTTTTCTATTTTGTAAAGAAAAAAAAACACTCAAGAATTCGCCCTTGATTCAACAGTTAATGCCCACTGTTATTTTGCTACTAAGAAAAAAAAATATATAATGCTAGCAAGATCACAACAAACTCAAAGGACAATGGGTCGAGTTCACTAAAAGCAGAAATCATGACGTAGAGGATAAGCTACCCACTCGGTAAATTTGTCATGGTAGCAAAACTGTGTGTCTGTTGCATCATATTAATTCTATAAATCCTATAAACTGTAGTAAATATTCTACCTGCATATTTTAAAACAAAGCAAAAAATAATTTTCTTTTAGTTGTGATGCCACTCAGTGCCACAAAAAAGATTTGCTTTTGCCTGGATTGAATAAACAACATCCAATAAAATGTTGCTAAAAAGTTGATGTAGAGATCTTAAAAAGCTGTTTCCCTCTTTTTATATCTTCTTCCTTGATTTTTGTTACATTTAAAGCCTAGGGGTATCAAATATCTCATTTCAAACAAAACCCACAGCAACTCACATCACTGTATTCCAAAAGATGACTTCTATAGCCCTGTTTTGTCTAGTTCTTTAAAAATCACAAACTACAACACTAATGGAATTAAAATACAACTGTAGAAACTCAGTAAGGCATCACTTTTAAAAAATCAGCACCCAAAGATAGCTGAAAAGGCTTGCATGTGTTTGTGTTTTGTGTGTGCGTGTGTTGTTGAGAACCTCGGTTCTAGTTTGAGATATAACCTGAGACAGCTGATAATATCAGCTATTGGTTTTTGTTGTTTTTTAAATGACACCAGTTGGTGTCCAAATTTTTGTGAATCTTCTCGCCATTAGCATAAGCACCAAGCAGGTTTTTTAACCTTTCTCCCCAGTTTTCTTCTGAAATGAAGAAAAGAGAGAGGGCTCAGAGTTATTTTCTCTGCTTGGCTCTTGGTTTAAAACCAAAACCCAAAAAGCTTTATGGAAATAACTTTCCTTTACTTAAGACTTGGTTAAGTAAAATGGAGTATTTTTCTTTCTTTCTTTCTTTTTATAAAAAGAGGCTCTTTATTATTGTGAGAGATTCACCAAAGTTCAGTCCCAAGTTTTGTTAACAGATGGTTGAAGCTAATTATTTATCCATAAATTCACATGTGACGACCCTGACAAGAAGATACTTATCCATATCTTCATACGAATCGATGCTGAAGAAATACTAATGCCTGGCCCTAAGGAATTGGCAAAACAGTCCTGCCTTTTCAGAGAACTTTGAAATTTGAACCTAAGGCACCATTTTCAGCCTTGCTGAGTGCTCAAATTAGAAGAGCCATTTTCCTACACTTTCTCCCCTGCCTGCGCCCCCCCCCCCATTTTATAAAAGCTGTTTGACCGAAACCAAAACAAGGAAATAAATCCTATGCTGGTTCCTGAACTACAGGAAATTGTCAGCCAATTTGTTGTTGGTAACTTGGGGGGGGGGGAACTGGGAACTTGGAGGGCTTTGGATACAATGGATCTGCAGCCCCTTTTGGTATGTTACCCTGCTCTATCTCCAACACCGTGCAGGCTAATCTTTCTAATAACGGATTCCTACACAGGTCTTAGAGAAGTTGTGGGGCAAGGAAATTGATGTTCCCTTTTTCCTCCCAGAAGGGAGAAAACCAAAGATTGCCTTGGTCTTGGGTGACCACTTAGAAAAAAGTCGTGTTGTATGCTTAGAAAAGCATAATACCAAATAGCCGCCACACTTTCCATTCAAGTAGTCCCTTTACTGTATTTGCAGGACATGCTTCCTAGCTGCTTTCTCCAAGTTATCGCTTCTCCCTGGTTCCATGCTAACGCCTGTGCACTCAGTGCCGTCTCTGACAAAGGACCTCCAGAGATAATTACTGACTGCCCTTTGAATATAAAAACATTAGGGAGGGAGATCAAGGAGAGCTAAGCATGTTAGGTGGGTAGCCATTAGGTGTGGTCCTCATGTATTCTTTGTGCAGAAAGGAGGTCTATATAGGACAAGTAAAAAATAGATACCATTTCCAATCATTAGAACAGCTGAATACCACTAACCCCAAGAGACTTTACACTATTCAATAAAATGGAAGCTTCCCCATGTCTCACAACAAGCCATTTAGAGCAGGGGTCTCCAACCCCCGGTCCATGGACCGGTACCGGGCCGTGCCATGCCAGAAACTGTGCTGCGCAAACAAGCGAAGCCCCATCCACGGGATGCAGCCAGCACGTGAAACCACGCCCCTTCTGGTCCATGGAAAAACCTCTCTCCACGGAACCGGTCCCTGGTGCCCAAAAGTTTGGGGGGGCACTGATTTAGAGGAATGGAACTTCAGGAACAGATTGCTATGGGACATGAGGCCATTAGGACAAAAAAGTAAGAAACTGTACAATACAGTAGAAGAATGGAATTATCTTTTTTTTTCCAATCCAGACAACTGTCTTTTCCGAGCTTTGTTGAACATTTGGTATAGTTATAAAATGATCCCAAAACCCGAATGAATGATTTGAGGAAATGACACCCCTATGTTATGTATTTGAGGCTGGTATCCACTGAATTGTTGTGAATCCAAAGACAAAGAGACTGGAGCTTTGTTTTCACTTTTTACAAAGCACTTCTTCTACTTGCAGAGAAGTGTTGTTATCCAGGTCACTTCAACAGTGAGAACTCTGAAGCAAATATGAAAAGAAATTCTAGCAACTTGTTTTGGTTTTTTCTTATATGTGTTTTTCCCAGACTTTGGATCATGGCTAAAACACTCCACGATTGTTGCTTTAATTAACACTGGCAGCTTTAGAGATGGTTTTAGAAAGACGTACAGCTACTGTGCTCGAGCCCAATGCTTGGAACTATAAAAACAAATGAAATAACCAAAACAAGGGATCATGGTCTCAAGTTGCAGAAGACCTAGGTTTTACATTATATATGTGAATATTTTAAACTTCCCTATTTCTAATCTCTTTGCCTTTTATGGAATGTTATTACCAAGGTGAGCAATTATTACAGCACCAGAATTATTGAGGTTAGGCTGAAAAAATATGACTTGGAAAAAATCAGCCATTAAATCAGTTTGTACAGAAGCAGCATAGCTGAGATCCTCTCCCTTTTTGGATCTGATGTGGCGCAATGCTTCTTAGGTTCATAACTTTGATGGTAAATTTTTTTTTTTTCATTTATTGCCTCCAACTAACTCTCCCCAGAGATTGTTATGATTAATGGAGTACACCTTATGTCAATTAAACACAATTCTCTTGCACTTCAGTTTTTCCTCTACTCGCCTCCCCTGCACCCTTGTAATGAAATTTACTCCAGATGTCCCTTTAAATATTGGAGCAGGTTTAGGGAATCAGAGATAATGGTAATCCACTTCACAAGCAGAAGTTGTTTGGTCAATGGACAGACACAACTAGATAAGCACCGTTGTTTTTATGAAAATAATGTGTTCAGTGTCGTAGGCATGTGAACTCACAGCAATGTAAACTACAAAACAAAAGAAAAACAAAAAATAGTGCAGTTCTTATTAAGGAAAACGAAATGCAAGATATAAAACATCAGCTGGGTTGCCTGCACCCATCTTTGACACTGAATGGGGGAGGCAGAGAGGGTGGAAGAGATTGTATTGTTCTCGCAGCTCTAATACTGAGATGTCCTTCTGAACCAAGGTCAATTCTCTCCATGGCTTGGTGATTCGTTTTTCTAAGGGAGGCAAAGGACGGACCACTGGAAACAACCATTTCTAAGTTCTATTCATAACGTTGACTCCAGGGATGAGTCAAGGATATCATCGTGATGGCTATTGCTGTTGGAGTCACTGTCGTAACTCTGTGGACTTGAATAATTAGCTGCCTCCTGCAACCTCATCAGCATGTTCATCTGGTGAAATACAGAAAGGACAAAAAATATTACTTGACCGTCATGGTCGCTTGCCTCTCTCGGGCAACTGAAGCAGACATGGATTTCATGAATGTTCTTCTGCAATTAGCAAGTTGGCCTGGTCTCAGAGCCACACCAGGTCTATCTGAAGCCTTCTCTGTTGGCTCTGCTCATATCACTGTGAGACCTTAAATCGGCACTCCTCAGTTTGCTAGGACCTCCGCAGCAGAAGGAAAGCCTTACATTACAAATTAAAGCGTATTGTGTGTGCACTCATGAAGACGTTTCCCCTAATACTGTTATAGAGAATAAAGGGACCTGGCTTTATGACTTAGTGGGATTGTCTACCTTTCAGCAAAATCCAATCATTAATCTTTTTTGCCATCATAGACTGAGTTGCTCTACCCACAAGACGAACAAAATAAGACTTAACAACTAATTCTTTTCTGGGATAGAATTGGATACATTGATTTGCATTGTAATCGTGAGGATAACTCTATGGAAAAAATAAACGCACATTGGACATCCTGGTTGAATAAACAATGAAAATCCAGTATCGTGTCAATTTCACACTGGATGATCCACGTGGTTTAATGCCATTATGAATTTTCTACTTGCCACGCAATGTCATCAGTTCAGAAGAAACAGCCTGTTGTTCATTTCTAGGGCTTCAAACATTACAGCAGTTCCGTAGGAAGCCATAGGAAATTTCAGCAATTTCTACAATGCTGCTGGGTTGTAACATAAAACAGCACCACATGCTGTATATGGATTGCCTTATTACAGAGATAATAAAGCCGTGTTTTGTACCAAATATTCTTTCCTACAAATTTTCAATTTGCATAATGCAGCTGCATTATGCAATCTCCTTGTCCTTAGTTCCAGTCAATACATTTAATATAACAAACATAATGTAATTTGTCAAGTCCTAGGAGTCTGGATCAGCATTTTGGAAGGATGAATTTATTATAAATTTGAGCTATTAAAAATATTTTACTAAAACTTGCTTGGGATCAACACAGGTAGTCCTCAACTTACAACAGTTCATTTTGTGACCATTCAAAGTTACAACAGCACTGAAAAAAGTGACTTATGACCGTTTTTCACACTTACAACCATGGCAGCATCCCTCCATGGTCACGTGATCAAAATTCGGATGCTTGTATTTATGACGGTCGCAGAGTCCCAGGGTCGCGTAATCCCCTTTTGCAACCTTCTGATAGGGAAAGTCAATGTGGGAGTCAGATTCACTTAACAACCATGATACTAACTTAACAACTGCAGTGATTTACTTAAGAACTGTGGTAAGAAAGGTGGTAAAATGGGGCAAAATTCACTTAACAAATGTTTCACTTAGCAACAGTTGGGGTCAATTGTGGTCGTAGGTCGAGGACTACCTGTACAAATCACAACACACAGAGCCCCACGGTAATTTCATTTCTATCCAACATAATACTAAATTCCTAGTATAAATCACCCAACACGCTACACCTATTCCGAGTTTACCTTTAGAATATTTTACGAATTAATTTGGAGAAATAGCCTCGAGACCTCCCAGTGTTTATCCTTTTACCATCTAATGTCCCATATATAAACAATATAATGCTGAGAATCTTACCAGAGGATCTCCTTCAGCATCACTAGGTGGAACCTGTTTGCTGGTTGAACCTTCTCGTGGCATAGAATAACCATCAAAGCCAACATCTTCTGGACGCAATTGCAACAAAGGAGGCCACTCGTGGTGTTGCGGAGTAGCTGCCCATGGATAAGTGTCCATCACCCACTTGGCAGGGTCCTCCCATGGTGCTCTCCTACCATACAACTGCAAACAACAGTACAAACCCATTCTGAATAAAGGGATTTGATATTAAACTTGTTTTTAGCCACATACACATAGCAATGCTCTCATGTTTTTTTTTTTCATGAGTTCAACTCATGTGAGGAATCTTCCAATCTTGTGTTTATAACAATGGGAATAAGAAGAAAATAAAAGATGAGAAAGCAGTAGTCTCCTCGTTTTTCAACCAGAAGATCTACCATGTACCGAAAATAGTCTGACAATGTGGAGAGAAAACAAAAAGAGCAGAGATGGGTATTATTGGGTTTTTAAAAATCTAAACTACTGGACTTTTTAAAAATTTTAGAAGTACCGCTATCTATATTTTTGAATCTCTCTCTTCAGTTAAAAGAAAAATGCAGGAAGCAATGCTATGTACATATTTTATACCTCCAAATCCTGAATGAAGGCTGGGATATGAATCTGATAAATGAATGAATACCTCCTATTTGGAGAAAAATGCATTCATTTGAGACTGAAGAACAAATTGGCATTTTAGATCTAAGCCAGAGATGATTTAAAAAAAACAACACCTCACAATCCAGAAAAAGAAATATTCTGCTAAAAGGTACAAATACATGTGACCAAGGATGCCTATGAGCTGGATTATATCAATATTTAGGAAAGAAGATTCTGCTCTCCTACCCATATTCTTAGCAAAATGTACCTTCTACACTGACAGCACAACAAAGGCTTTGTGAGCAAATCTGCCCACTAGATGTCACCATATCTTCTGAAAGCAAATCATAAATTAGGGAAAGCCACCAATAAAAGTACAGATCTTTTGCAGAATGCTTCTTGGGTGTTCAACAATTACTACAGGAGAGTGGGTGGAAGAAAATGTCAAGATTGCCTCTCCCAACTTGATGTCTTCTAGATGTGCTGAATTTCAAGTCCCATCACCTCAACAAAACAGAGGCCAGAGATCAACTTTGCTGATTGGGTTATATTGCAACACATCTGGAAAACAACAGCTAAGAGCTGAATTAAGGTAGACAACTCTTTAAAAAAAAAGTTGTCTACCTTTAACTCTTCTCTTTTATTCCCCTTCCTTTGTAAATGTCCATTTTGCATTATAAGCCAGTTTTAATATTAATCTCTCTTAAGGTGTTCTGTAAAAATTGGGGCTCAAGAGCTATGATAAATAGTTTAATTTTTTTTAAAAAAAGGTTCTTTATTCCAAAGGCAAAGGTGAACCAGGTAAGTCAAGACGTACAACACTCAGATTCAATTTTTATGGCTCACACAGGACTGTGCAAAGCTTCAAAGGGGCCATTTCCCTCAGGCAAGGCACCTGGAAAGCTCGCCTTTGAAGCTATTTCCTGCATGAAGCAGCGTAGCCCATCCACCCTACCAATTCCTAGAGCAAAGCAAAAACGGTCCTGCGGCTTGGCTTTCCCTCACTTTGGAGGCCTCCTTCAGCAATTCCAAATAACTGGAAGCTTCTATTCATGCACATGAAGCTTGGAGAGGATGCAAAGTGTCCTGGCATGGGCAGTGGTTCAAAAGGCTGCCTCTTGCATTTTTTTTACAAAGGGACATTTATCTTAAAGTTTATCTTCCCTTCACGCCTGAAAAAAAAACTGAACAGTTCTGGAAATGATTTGTTGCTACTCTGGATGTTGCCAAATTCACTTCTGGGTGATCAGGTAGTTTATTCTTGTTACAAGTAGCAATGAAACGAGTGACAGACAGTGGGACAAAAGCGATTTTGAATGTCTCTAATTCAGTCTCAGGTATGTGCAGAAGGGATTTCTGGTGCAGCTCTACCTATCCAATACATAATTTAATTGGGACTTCTACTCCCTGAATACAGGTTAGGAATTCCAGGATCTTCAACATGACTGGATCACACTAGCTGAGAAATATGACATTGGGGGGTTGTTCCAGAGTTGAAGTAAAACCGAGGAGTCAAATCTAGTCTCACTTTATAGTTTGAGCAAATCCTTCTCTCTCAGTCCAACCTACTCACAATGTTGTTATTGTGGGGATAAAACCACTGGAAACATTTCTTTCTTGAGGATATTTCACATAATGCTAAGAAGTGAAAGTGATCTTGGACTGCAAAAACTCCAGTAGTTCATCTTAGCTTCTTGTAAGGTGAATGTATGTGCTTGAAGACAAATGTCTGATACAATCATAGTTTACATTGTTTGGTATGCAGTTAAACCAGTGGTAGGCAACCTTGGCTCTTTTATGACTCGTGGACTTCAACTCTCAGAATTCCTGAGCCAGCCATGCTGAGGGGAAAGGGAGAGGTTTCCAAGCTGAGCCATGCTGGCTCAGGAATTCTGGGAGTTGAAGTCCACGAGTCATAAAAGAGCCAAGGTTGCCTACCCTTGAGTTAAACCTTTTTCAATAAATCTCTAAAGAATGGAATATGCAAAGAGATTCTACGACCTGCTGAACAACCTGTTCAATATATTCAGAGACAGATAGACAAGCATGATGCATGTCAAAGTTGTTGCTATGTTATGTCTGAAATAGATATTCATGCAAATATTGAAAATTAAACTCAAGCACTCACAGACTTTTATTGCTTAGAAATAGTGAAAGGCATTATTTTCCACTCAATTCCTCTATAATCAGAATAATATATAGTTTATTAATGTGCACATCACTATTTAATATGTCATGAACTAGTTTCTGAATCATGGTAAATTAAAATTACAATTTTCTCTTGACCCATCTCTTCCGATTACTAGTTTTCTGTCTGATAATTGCAAGGTGGTAAAATATATATCTATATGAATATTTGGATTAGATGGCTATATAGAGAATTGTAACTATTTACAGCTAAAATTATATAGTATATATTTTTTCTTTTTCTTTTGTTGTAAACGCTTTCTATGTGTTTTTGTTTCAGAATAAATTTATTTAAGATTGAATACGACACAAGGGTGGAGAGATAATGGCACTTTTCAGGAGCTGGTGAATAACCAAGTTGGAGCCCAAGTCAAATGTTTATTTAACTTTCCAATTCCAATTTCCAGAAAAACTCAAACTGGAGCAAGTGGGGGCTATTACAATGGCCTGTTCATGGCTCAAAGTAGAATACATGACAAAGGCTATGCTATGTTCTTTCCACCGTGATGTATCCAAGGAGTCACTGAGCAGAAAGAAAAAAGGGCAGGTCCTGTTCTTCATTTCAAAGTCATAAGAAGTGTTTATAAGCATTAAAACCCTTGAGAAAAAGAGAGAATTGCCAAATTGAAATGAGTGCCAAATGTAATAAGTCTTCATTTGATAGTACTACAGAGGAAAGTCCCTGCAGCACACTGAGAACCAGCTTTTTGCATCAGGATTAACACCCTGTTGTTGATGCAACCTGACCTCAACAAAATAAATATTCACATTATGGAAATAGAAGTCTGCCCTAGGGCACTTTTTTGAAAACTTCAGTTGTTCTGAGCATGGCTCCCTGTGTTGATGCAACTTGAATGCCTCCGGTGGGGTGGTTTTATATGTCTATACTTTGGACAACTATGCTAACAATAGTCCAGCTTGGAGAATATTAGTTAGACACTATCTAACCAAGGATTCCTAGCTGATTTATTCCAACTGTCTGCATTTCCTTCCATTTCAGTAGCAGGGAACATAAGGCCTCATGCCATCCACTTGAAGAGGAAGGCATCAGCATGCTCGGATATGCAGGAGTCCAAAATGAAATTTCTGGAGAACAGCCCGTTAAAAGGGAAATACCTTCTTAAAATGGGCTACTGAGAACTGGGAACAATTATAAATCAAGAACACCAAGTTTGTCTATGATTATTGAGGTCATAGACCAAGAATAATTACCTGTGAGGAGCACATGGCCTTAAATAGCAATAGCACTTAGACTTATATATCACTTTATGGTGCTTTATAGCACTCTTAAAACAGTCTACAGAGTCAACTTATTGTCCCCTGCAATCTGGGTCCTCATTTTACTGACCTCAGAAGGATGCAAAGCTGAGCCAAGCTTGAGCCAAGCTTGAGCAGGATTGAACTCCTCGCTATGGGCAGGGTTAGCCTGCAATGTTGCATTCTAACCACTGTGCCACCAGGCGCAGTGGTTAAATAAGTGAATAAATAAATAAATAAATAAATCTGAATTGCAGACCACTTAAGCAGGGCTGATATTTTCAATTCCACTTGGGAGAAAAATGGGAGGTTTTAAAGGTAAAAGACTACTCTTGTTGAGACATAACAATCCTTACAAAAAAAACCAACCTCCAAAATTGGGGTGATTCTTACCATTTTGGCAAGTTTAAAAGGAAAAATCAGTGCCTTAAGCATCAGCAATGATTTTTCCCCCTTAATGCTAAACAAAACATGGAAAAATAGATCCAAAAATGTTGACTTTGTTGCCTCTTGGGACATTTGTGGCTGTTTTCAGAAAGGGCACAAAAATAAAGTGTGGTCCCATGCCTGTTATCCAGGGATTTCAGGATTTTGCAAGGTCCTGTCTGACCACAACCAGCCTGCATTTGTGCACCTGTGCTGCATTTGTCATATTTATATCCCAGTTTTTGTAAACTGTGCTTACCTGTAGCCCTTCTCTGACAGCCTCAAGAAGATAGGGAACAATGGAATAGTTCCATAAGTCAGTAAACCAAACCCTTGACCCATCCACATCTAGAGGGCAAGAGAGAAACAGGCGTGGACCTGTGAAAATCAAGAGAAATGTAAGTTGATCATTTTCAGTAAGGAGGAACTGATGCATTTATTTTAACCATAACATCACGCAACAACAACAGAAATAAAAAAAAAAAAGACAGATAAGGAAAAAATTATTACGATAGAGTACATTAGTTGCAAGAAATAAACCATTTACATGTATTTATACTAAGTAGGAATTTATCATCAAAAACATTTTGTTTGCGGCATCTTGGATGATGAACATTTAAAAGTGAGTTTTTCTCTGTATAATCAGATAATTTAGATTATATAATTATCAGATTATAATAATCAGATGACCTCTAATTTTCTATGAAAAAAAGCTATTAACGTTTTCTGTTCACAAGAAGCCTATGAAAGATTAGGACACTTATTTATTTATTCATCAAATTTGTATGGCTGCCCATCTCACTGTAGTATACCTGCAGCTAACCGCAGCTAAAAAAAATAGCAAATAAAATGTATAACTGGCAGCCAAAATAAAAACTAGTCAGCCAGCTATTATAGTAACCATCTCACAAACTGTAACTCGCAATCCAATCTCTATGTAGAACTCTCTCTTGAGGAGGTTGTGATACTCAGCAGGCTGGAGCCATCTAATCTCCAAGGGAGTCATGTTCCAAAGGACAGGACCATGACAGAAAAAGATCACTTTTTGGGTCCCATCCAATGATACGCCTTAATTGTTGAGACTACAGCATCCCTGTTTCATCAAATCCAACAGGACAGGAAGAAATGATTGGAGAGAAGCCACTCTGCAAATAATCTGGGCATAAAGAGTTTTAAATTTCTTACCAATAGTAACGTCTGAAGAACTGTGAGCTTCCAAGAACTTGTTGAGATGTTGCCAAACCTTGGGAATCCAGTCTACAATCTTAATTAATTCTGCATTTCTCACCCGGCCACCAATTTCTGTTTCAATGAGTTTTCTTCTCAAGAATCGGGCAAGAAAGCCCTTGACTGGCTCAGTATGATTGGCACATAGTACCCATCTAAAGTTGTGGTGCAGCTGAAGGTTAGGAGTGGAGGAAGTGGCTTGGTTCATTGTTCCAATGATGTAAGGGCTGTAGGGAAAAAATTAGCCAGCATTTATTTTTAGAAAATCTTTTTTTTTTAATTTGCATTATCATCCCATGTGCTTTTTTTTTTTTTTTGCTTCCTACTCATAACCTATGAATAGATTCTATCCCAGGGTTATTGCGAGGCTCCTCCATGCTATCTGAATTTCTGGAATGCTTTAGAATATTTTTATTTACTCTTCAGTTAAATCTTTGAAAAAACATTTTAAAAACAGTGAGAGAAAAATTAAAATGTACAGATTTAAAAGAGGAGGGTTTCTGAAAAGGAAAGTGCTCAGAATGTGAACCAAAAAAATTGAGAAATGAAAACCTATGAAAATGAAATCTAGAGCAGTCTTCCTGTCAAGCACAGGAAATCAGGAGTCAAGGTGGCTCACATGAATACAGGTTTTTTGCATGTTAACACTCTCTACAAGAATCTGAACTACTAACGGTCAAAGCAAATTGGCAGTAGATAAGAGTTAATGGAATTCAAGGAGGGCTGGGCTTACATCTCTTGTGGGTATGAAGAGACTTGAGACTGATGACATACTTGACCTCTCCCTTGCACTCAGCCTGGTCATCTGCACTTCCCTAACCTACTGCCCTTTGGATGTACTGCTCATGGTAGAATTCAGAATCTACCTGAAAGGTACAGTATTTGGTGAGGGGTGTAGAGCAGGGGATGGACAGCTATTTTCAAATTACTCCAGCCATTATGTGCTATAAATGAAAAAAGGGCTGGCTTTGTAAAAAGAAAAGACAGACATTGGCAGAACTCTGCAGAAAAAGGCTGGTTTTCCATCTCTCCCAAAGCTTCTGTTAATATTGAATCTTTAAGAAGCTGGAGAAGTCTGTATAATCAAAGCATAGGAATACTCGTTTTAGGGATCTCCTAGTTTTGTAGACACAGATAAAATGAAAAGCCAGGGATTTGCCTTAGATTTTTTTATTTCTGTCTGCTGTGTAGTCATGTCCTTTATGTCTATTGGTTATAGAATGTAGAGCTTTACGTCAAATCTCAGGGTATGTTCGTGAAAATAATTCATGTACTAATTTGAATAAATCTTCAGTCAAACCTTTGGTTGCAGGATTTATAATTTATTTTTACTGATTTAGACTATGGGCTGCATTAACAGAGGGATAGAATCAAGATCACGTGAAGTATTAATACCACTTTACAATGCCTTAGTAAGGCCACACTTGGAATACTGCATCCAGTTTTGGTCACCACGATGTAAAAAAGATGCTGAGACTCTAGAAAGAGTACAGAGAAGAGCAACAAAGATGATTAGGGGACTGGAGG